ACTGACAACCACTTTCCTGCCTTGGGTGACCATGAGAGGGCGACCAAACTGACTCAAAAGGTCTAGTAAAGGGATATTGGCATCACCGTCAAAGATGAGGGGTGGTTGGGCAGATGTCGTGTGGATGGCAGGGGACTGGATTTCATGGAATTTCTGATATATTTAAGTGGTTGATGGGAGCAGTGGAATTCACTGTTTGGATTTAGGAATAGACAGGATACTCGGAGCACATGCCCACATACCTGTACCATCTCAGAGAAGGAGGAGGCTTTGAAGTTAAAATACAAATTCACCCATGGAGGGCGGGCGGGGCACTCTGGTGACAGGTGTGGCTGCCTGGCGTCTTACAGCTGCTGTGTTTCCGAATTTACCTTACTTAGCTCCCTCAGTCACTGCCGGGCATTAAGGAGGTGGGGTTTGGAGAGGATCAGAGAGGTTGAATGGCTCATTAAAGATCAGACTGCTCAGCAATGACTAGAACTTGTGTCCGGTTGATGGCCTTCCTGCTTGAATCACTATTGAGAAATTCACAGCTCTCGGGGAAGTTGTGCGTCTAGCTTCAGTGCTTTGGGGAAATGCTGGTAAAGGCGTTTGCCTTTCCTTCATTTGGCTGTAAAAGGGTAATTTCTTACAGAGAGAACACCTTCCCATGTGGAACTCTTTAAGAGTCAGATAATCTGGATAGCTGACTTAATTTTGGAGCATCTCAGAAGAATTTTGTGACCGTGGCTTTAGATGCTGTGAGATTAGAACCAGATATTCCCGGCACCTGGCACAGAGGAAGCACTCAGTGACTAGTTGTTGAATAAATGACCTTTCCATAATCTGATTAAAAGGAATCAGACTCACGGAATTAGGATTATCTAGTGCAGATTGAGCTTCATGGGCCTTGGATGAGCTCAGTTAGCTTTTAAAATTAAATTCATTTGGATGACTCTCCATGTTTATCACTAATGACTTAAGCATCAGATCCTCGGTTTAAAAATAAGCTTTTGAAAAAAAAAAAGGTTTTGTAGCCACACGTATTGTTCTCACATAAACTTCGACTTTGAGTTTAAAACATGATGCTCATTTGTCCTGCTAGCCTTTTGAGGGGTAGATATCTTCATTTTTGTTTGTCTATAAGGTGATGATTGCAGATTCAATTACTTCTAAGAGGCTGAGGATCTGGGAGTCATCTTAAACAATGTAGAAATACCCCTCAGGGAGTGTGTGCAGTGAAGTGACTACAGTCTTCCTTTTGCATTTTTTTTGAGAAGATTTATTAAAATAATTTCAATTAGCCAAGCTCTGCTACATTTTCTTTATTGGAGTTTCAGTTTATTTATATGGGTATACTGTATAAATATACATTTTTCCCCCGATAGGATATTTCTATAAATGCCTTAAATGATATTGTTGTGGGCTTAATGTCTGGAGTCTTAGCGTGGTTGATAACTAGTAATTTTAATTTAAGATGTCTCAAGAATGCTTTACTGTTAATTGAAAGGATTTTTCCCCCAGTATCACAGCCAATGGCTTGTCTTGAGCAGCTAATTAGTGCGATTATTCCACAGCTGCATTTGCTACAGCACAAAGGTTTGCTCCTGTTTTTATCAAAAGGATCAGTCTCTCTGGGAATGTTTTAACCTGACAGGCTTTGAATAGTAAGACCGTTTATTTATTTATTTTTTAATAGCTACTCCCCCCTTCTTTTCTTGGTTCAAAAAACTACATTTGAGCTTTGAACACATACTCAAAAGCGGGAAAATACATTCGCTTTTTATGCACTTTTCCAGAGCCTTACCTGCTAAATATATTATTTTGGGTAACGTCTAGGTATTTTTTCTGTGTGCTTGAGTGCATCATATTAAAATAATAAGCAGGATATTAACGTTGTTCAATCTGTGTGCGTCTGTAGGAAACTGTGAAGGAAAAAGGGTTTAAGTCTTCTGGAATGCTCAAGACATGCAAGAGAACCAATGCCCTGGGTACCATCATCACTTTCCCTTCCTACTGTCAAAATACAGTCTGCGATGTACCCCATCTCTTTTGTTCTAGGCAAAGGGGGACTTTGATTATTCAAGTCATTCCTTCATGTTTGCAGATTAGTTCATGTTCATCTTGTTCTTAAATTAGTGACACGTATTCTGCCATTGAAAAGACTTACGGCTTTATTATAATTTGGGGGGGGACAAAAAAAAGGACGAAAGAAGTTTATCTATAATTCCACTTTCCATCTGGCAGCTAAGATGACATTTATACAATCCCCGCTAAGCATGTGTATTTGTGTACATAAACACACTTTACTTATTTTAGACTAAAACATAAATACACTTTTATTTCCTACTTTTGTTCTTGTTATATACATTTTTCACTTTGCTCTGTAGTTGTACAGTTTCTTAAAAAATAGTAGTATGTGATATATATATATATATATATTCACCTATTATAATTGTTTTTTAACCTATTTTACTCTTAAATATTTTAAATGGCTTTATTTTCCCCCCAACTTTACTGAAGCATAATTGACAAAAATTGCATACATTTGAGGGGCATAACATGATGACTTGGTATATGTACACGTTGTGAAATGATTACAGTCAAGCTAATTAACATATCCATCACATCGTTGCTATTTATTTTCCTTTTTTGCCGTGAGAATACTTAAGATCTACTCCTCCACCACATTCCAAGTGTACAATATGGTATTATTAATTCTAGCCGCCATGATGAACATTGAATCCCTAGAACTTGATCTTATTCCTCAAAGTTGGTGCCTTTTGACCAGTATCTCTCCTTACAATTTAATGATAAAGTAATCACTCTCATATTCAGGCAAAATTTTAGGTGGTTCGAAATATTTTGCAATTTGTCAATAGCTTTGTGATGTCAGGTTTTCCACGTTTTGAATTGTGTTCTTAGGAAAATTGTCCATGGATGTCATTTTTGAGTCATATTCTATGAACAGTATTACAGCTTTTTTATAATACTGTTTTACTCATGCTTTTCTCAGTATGGTTTTCTTAAAGGATTGTAATAATACATATCCGCAGTGGCTCAGACTAAAATGATCAGTACACTTTTTCTGGTAGTGAATATTTTTTTAATTGGGTCATACTGTGAATACTTTTTTTGTAGCTGCCTTCTGTAAGTTTGTTATATTGTGTAGTTTTTATTCCAGTCACAAATCTATTTCTTCACCATTTTTAATGGCTGCATAGTATTACATTATATGAACCTGTTATGATTTCCTGTACTAATTTCCTGTGGTGAGTGTAGTTTTTATTACGTAGCTTTCTGGAACCGTGCAAGGGAGAAGCACAAACATCTTTTCATCCGTTAGCATGTGCAGAGTTTGGAGGTTCCTATCTTTTTTTTTTTTTTTTCCAACGTTTATTTATTTTTGGGACAGAGAGAGACAGAGCATGGACAGGGGAGGGGCAGAGAGAGAGGGAGACACAGAATCAGAAACAGGCTCCAGGCTCCGAGCCATCAGCCCAGAGCCTGATGCGGGGCTCGAACTCACGGACCGCGAGATCGTGACCTGGCTGAAGTCGGACGCTTAACCGACTGCGCCACCCAGGCGCCCCAAAGGTTCCTATCTTTTAAGGAGTTCATAAGATCTGCCAATGGCTTGAAGGCTTTATTTTGCCTTTTGTTGGAAGGTAAAGAAAATACTGGGATTTATACTCAAGGAAGGAAGCTAAAACTACTCATGCTTCATTTGAAGAGGGACTTCCTTGGGAGTGACTGTTTTCTCAAATGTCACTTTTTTTCCTGTTTCCAGGTACTAAGGTTTTGTACTGTTAGCCCTAAGCAGAGACTTTTTTTTTTTTTTAAGAATGCTATATTGCTGGAAATAAACAACCGAAAATTCTAGCTGATAATAATAGCCATGACAAAGCTTTATTGAGGCAGCACTACATGGCACTCATTATGCTAGACAATTTCTGTGTATTGTTTTATGTATTATATTATTTAATCCTCACAAAATCCCTGAGAGGTTGGCTCGTAAAATGTAAGTGATGTAAGAGAAGTTTTAAAAACACCTCCCTCTTTGATAAATGAGTAAGTGTGTAAAAAACTATTATTATCCCTCCTTTCCGGATACGGTAACTAAGGCAGAGGGAGGTTTAATAACTTGTTGATGCTATAGAGCTGGCAAGATAAGCAGTCACAACCCATATTTAGGAAAATTAGGAAGTCTTTTCTTTCTAACATAGGACTGGTGTTTAAGCTTTTTCTGTAATTTTGGATAGAGCAAGCACCCAAACCATTAGAAGTAGGCCGCATGGGGAACTCGCAGACACATGTAGGAGAGAGCTTGCCAAGATGAATCAGGAGAAAAGACGGCACAAAGAAAACCAGATGGAGAATAGGGTTGTCAAACCGGCTCGTCCTCTGCCCCCTTCCCCCCGGCCTGTAGTGGAGTCTGGTGTTAGCGTTCTGGTGCAAATGCTTCTTTCATCAATGGTTTTTACTTCCCATATCCTCGCAGAATTTCCCCATGACAGAGTTCACCCATTCTTGAAATTATTCCCCGTTAGTAAACACCTTAGACATCTTCAAGGAATTTAGATAGCGCGTAGGAGTAGGTATTTGGTGAGATTCAGTTATGAAAAAGCAAATCAAGCGATTTATTTTTACATGTGGAAATCTGGGTGCCATTAAGACACAGTGCCTCTTGGCACTTCATATGGCGGCGCTATATTTGGTGGTGATGAGTAGTATGTGGTATAAAATGTTAAAAAAAAAAAAAAATTAAGCCGCATGAGAAAAATGCCTAGATGCAATCAAGCTGACTTATTTTAATTCAACTCCTAATGACTTCAATCCTGTCACCTCTTGATTTTCAATTATGCGGAGTACCCTTCTGCAACTTGATTTTATCTTCGCGCAGGATCATTTTCGTAGTTGGGCACAATTTAGGATACCCCCAAAATGCAAACGAAAGGTCTCGTTAAGAAACTAAATGTTGTGCCTTTTTTTTTTTCTTTCCCTTTTTGGTTCTCCCACAGCAGTTCCGAGGAGCATCCTGGGGCCTCCAAGCCTCCGATAAGCTCCTCCAGTATGACATCACGCATCTTGCTACGCCAGCAACTCATGCGTGAGCAAATGCAGGAGCGCAGGGAGCAGCAGCAGAAGCTGCAGGCGGCCCAGTTCATGCAACAGAGAGTGCCAGTGAGTCAGACCCCGGCCATAAACGTCAGCGTGCCCACCACCACCCTTCCCTCTGCCACCCAGGTGCCGATGGAAGTCCTCAAGGTACGTGAGTGTCGCTCTTGTTGGTTGGGCCAAGCCCTCTTCGAGAGCAGCATTTTCCATTTCCTAGGTGTTTTCTTTCTCTGACTGTGTTTTTGGTCCTCTTGACCCCTCTGCATGCTGTCTGTCAAGGCCAACTCTACTCATGCTACCTGGCTTTGCATTTTAAAGGAAGGACGGAAAGTAACCGGGGATTTAGGTAGTAGCCCTCCCTATGTGGGGGAAGAGTGTTGATGTTCTATGAGAAACAGCCAGTGGGGACAGGTGCCTGTTGCAATGCTATCTTTCCATTTTTCTTTAGGAAAGTTTCAGAAATGGATCTCTGCTAATAACTTATGTATTTTTTTTTCCTCCCTCCAAACATTCCACGGCCATTCTTTAATTTTCTTCTTTATTTAGTAAGTAATCCTGGCTATAGAATCTGACCGTTTGGGAAAGTCCCTTCTGAGATAAACCTGTAGGAGAGCTTTCTTCACTTTAATAACCAAAATGCATAATCCTTTAACTGAAGTGGTCTGTTTGGGGCCCCTTTGATTTCTTGCTAGAGTAGAACCTGCAGGAGCTTGTTAGCATCATTCTATCAGGGACATATAGCTTCCTAATTACTGGGGAAAACTGTAACAAGTCTGAGAATAGAATTCCATCTCACACATGTGTTCCTTCACATCACACTGGGACATCCTCCCTGTTGAAAGATGAGCATTCCACCTCTTAAATATGACTGATGCAGGGAAAGCTAAAAGCAAAGTGAGGGAACTTCCTCACTTAAAAGAAAAATTTTTTAACCCATTCACCTAATTGATTCATTGTAAAGAACCCCAAGTGTTACTGTTCATTAAGCAATGTGAACTTTACACACTGGTGATTCATTGTTGGTCTTTGCATTCATTCATGTGCTCAGGAGAAAAACATCTCCCGCTATTTAAAGTTTACAATTAAAGTAAATAGAGAGATGATGTGTTATAACTGGAAGCAGTATATGATTCTTACCAGGAAGTACGAAAAGATTCTTTAAAAACAAATTGAAAGTCATTGTTTTTTATTTGCAAAGACCCCTTTAAAACGTAGTGATGAGATAATGAAGCTCTTTCATGAAAAAACAGGAATTTTGCGAGGGCAAAAGAGATCCAAACAGTTTAGCATAAACCATTACTCTGATGTGATTGAAGTTCTGGATATTGCCACAAATAATGGATATGTTGTATCCTCCCCACCTCCCGATAAAGGCAGGTTTTCTTTTAGAAATAGGTTATATATTACATCTCTCTGTTCCGCTTGGGTGAAAATTGGTAATCGCTAAGTTTTTATAAATTTAAGATCTACGTTGTCTGGTGTTCACAGGAATCACATTAGTTTTGTCTGTGCCTTTTAAAGTTCTGTGAATTAAGTGATAATAAAATGTGGAGAAATATGTCTATTTTATTCACTGTAATAGTCTACTTTTCAATCTGAAGGATAAATTTTAGAAGAGGTGACGTGGATTTGTGCTAGTAGGTGATTTATGTCCAATTCAAAGGTAATGTTTCATATTGTATTAAAGTATATGAATTGCAATCACTACCTTCTATTAAGGCAGTTATATGTGATGGTGTGGAAATCACCCACATGCAGATGCATTAAAATACCATTTCCACATCATCTTCAAAATGGACATCATTCCTAAATGTTTGTATTCCTTAAAATGCTATTTTGGAATTGCTTAACATTAAAATCTGGACTGAATGGTTTGAATAATATGCCCATTTTTCCTCACACGTTGCTGTGTCCTGATAACAGTGAGTTGAGCTACAACCTTCAATTTACTTATTACAGAAAAATGTCCAAAAGTAAAGCACACAGACGTTATTAGAACCGGGAGTACTAATCTACAAAGGAGCAATTGGTAAATTTATCTTTCATGCTGAACATAGTTTACTCTTGATTTCGTCAGTCTATACAGTAGCGAAGTGTGTCATGTAAATAAAAAAAAAGTATAGTTGGCATAGCAACGCAGACTGGTTTGATAGCTATTTAGACAAATGGTAGTACCCTTCGATAAAACACCAAATAAAAACACGTAATTTCCTATAAAATGACATCCTGAGAAATTAAAATAATATTTTGGAGGAGAGTAGCATGTAAGGGATGGCTTAAGATCTTTAAGAACTTGGTCCTTAAAAAGAGTTTACAGATTTTCAGAACTTTTATGTATGAAAATACTGTTATGAAGTATTTACTATAGAAAGGTAAGCGAGAGACTGTGATCTTTTTTTCTTTTCCCTTGTACGGTTTTTAAATCGGAAGCATAATTTGGTAAATTTAAATGGTCACTAGTAAAAACGTAATTTGCTTAATCTTGGATCATTTTTCTATGAATATACATTTTCAAGGAATGAGTACTAGTATAGTAATTGAGTGCATTATGATACAGATGATGTCGAACAAATATTTTTTCATACAGTAGCCTGAGTCACTTCTTCATTTAATTTTTAAAGATTTAAATTGCTAAAGCAGAACATACCTACCTCTCATTTAGGTAGATGTGTACAGTCAGAGGTACTAGCATGTGCTAGAGAATGCTGGTTAAATGTCCTCATCTCCCACTGGTTTTCAAGAACTTGATAGAAGATCACACATGCAAACT